CACACATATGAATTGATCGACAAAGGAGTTCCAATTTTTCTAGATTCGATTTCCAAATTTGGTAATAATCCTGACTGCAATAAGAATCCCCACCATACCCCACTAATTTTATTTTCTTTGTCTTCGTCACCAAACTTGCAGACATTATTATTATCGTCAAACTGATCACTATTATTTTCATCATTGCCGTCATTACCCAATTTAACCTTATATGCAAGTAAAAAAAATTTAATGAAAAATAATAAGCTGGAATGCAAGAGAATAATAATTATTCCAACTTCTTTTAATGAATTCGAGTCCTATATATGATTGAACAAACAGATGAGTTAAGTTTGAGGTGGAATATGTAGATGAAGGATAACTTTCATTGACTCTAATGTTCTTACCTTTTGTTGGAGTAAAGTATGATTTCTAAAAAGTAAATATAAATCAGAATCTCATTTTTAATATTAACTAGAGTGACAAGTGGTGGTGATAACTGCCACCACCATTCTTACGATAAACAATACTTACCCTTTACTGGCACCAAATTCGTTTTGTAGTTTTCTTCTTTTTTTTTGTAACCTGTCATCTGGCATATTTTTGATTTTAAAACAAGAAAAAAATAAAGAATTTGTTGATCGATCGACAGCACACATACACTAATTTATTTTTTGACGCGATTGATTTTTTTTTTTTTTTTTTTTTTTGGAAAAACAATTTATTTTTCAAAGATGACAAACGCGAGTGATGTTATTTGGTATGGTTATGAAGACGTGTTAATAACTAACCAGAGGCACCTTTTTTTAATTTGCATTGATATATCTTTTATATAAATATTATAATTGAAATCAAAACGCAGAGCAGATCTTGCTGGGTAATTATAAGATTCTTGTCAATAGTAAACAAACGATTGGTATTTTGCTTTTCGTAATCAATATTTAATAATAACATTAACATTAAATAATTACAAGATGTCAAGGCAGCACACCATTTAAAAAAGAAACAATTCAAATATGAAACATTTCGATACATGACATTTGATTATCGGAAATTAGCAGACGTTGAAGCACGCGTGTTACCTTGAACACATTACAGTCATTCACTCATTCCTCATGTACACAAGGCTAATCTGACTCGCGCCTGATGATACAATGATGCAACCAAATTCTGGGGAGGGGGAAAGATGCCCTGGAATTTACCGAGACTGCATCAATCGTCAAGGACATCCTATCTAATCTTCCCTCACAGCACCAAGACCAGAGAAAGCTGCTGACATGTTAGCCGAAAAGTACCAAATCTTTTTTCTAAGTCCAGGGCTGGGAAATTCACGTTTTCCTTATAGCCACCGACCAGAATGGTACCTGCGACAATCCTACCTCTAAGAATGGCTCTGTGACCAAGAAGTCACAACTCTGGAGGAATATTAAGAGAATCTGCAGCTCGTTTCAAGCACAGGAGGTTACAATTCAGAGCAGGGTTGGTGTCCCTGAAATTGCATTTGGGCTCTGATGTTAAGAGGAACGTTGTAAAATAGTGTTTGTTTTGTATAATTATTTCCCTAAATTCTCTGTTTCTTTGATACTTACCAATTTTATAATTTTGGGTAGGGGGCTGAATGGGGTTTTGCCCAATCGGTCCCCTGTCCTATAGATTAAAATTATCGCATGTTTATATACATCTTTGTCAGCAACATGGTCAACAAGAGAAAAATCATAAAATGGTTCAGGTTTTGTTTGGTATGTATTGTATAAATTAATCATTTCATAAATTCTCTGTTTTTTGGTGATTTTTTATTTGACCAACTGAATTTGTTATTAAATGGGGGTAGGGTTGTTGGTGAGTAGGCATGCCACCAACAAGACAGCAACCCAGGCCTCAAAACTCTGGATTCAGGGAAAATCCAAAACAGCAACACAGATTGCAACCTCCCGAGTTTCAGAATTTCATACCAGTTGCAGACACCAAATTTTATTTTACAGGTTGGAATAACACAAATGCTGATCCTCATCAGCAATCAATGCTCATATGGTAACAGCCAACCTGGTCTGAGGGGAAGATGTGGAAAGTTTTGTCCAAAGCCTTCCAACTTGTTCAGGGTGGCTTTCACCTGTGGGAAAAAATTCCATGGTGCTGAATTGTGCTCAATTGCACAACGTTGCATGTTTGTGATAGGGAAATTTAATTAAACCTGATACATGTGATCAACATCAGATTTATTATTCATTTTAAGGGACTATAATATTTTTTTGATCCTCCCTATTTATTTATTCATGTGAACCCCAGAGATCTGGGTAGGCATGCATTATTAAAAGTTTCATTTATGCATGGCCTTAGTGTTATTACTACTTGGGTGATGCAATTGTTTGTTATGTCAATTATGACATCAAATGTATTGAATACTAATCATGACCATCATGAATATTTGATGGATGGAGGCATTCACATACAAATAGCTAAGTCATGTTTGTTTTATTAAAGGTGTATAATTAATTATATTTAAAGAATTATTATTTTATTCCACTCTTGCAATGGCATTAATTTTAATGATTCTGGAATTGTTTGTTTCTTAGTGTTAATGATTGAATTAATCACACAAGTGGTAATCAATTTAAATGGGATTCATTTTTTTAAATGTATAAAATTTTTTTAAAAGATGTTTTTTTGATAAATGTAAATCTTTATTAATATTAATAAAAAAATCAGGAAACATGAAATTTTTGCACATAATTATTTTTCATGGGGCCAGTTGACCAAATTTTTCAATTTCTCTTCATAAGTTATTGAACAACCATATTTTTTAAATCATTTACTTAAACCTATTCCACTGATTCATCTAAGATTAATTCCATCCATATACTTCAATTTTAAAACAATTATAAAAAACTTACAAAGTGAACATAGAATTATAAAATTATATATATATGGTTATAGGTATATGAAAAGTAATAATGAAAATAATAATCATAATGGTTCTAATGAATATCAAAAAGCCATTGATTTTTTAGAAAAAGGTTGTAAATGTGGTTGTTCTTCAATGGTTCCCAAAGAACAATTTGCAGGGTTAAGGGAATCCTTTCAAGCTCTTTCCAAGTCTGAACAAGACATATTTTTAATGGCCCAACTTAAAGCAATGGATGGTGGATCTATAAACACCAGCAGACGCCTTAAAAAGAAAACCAGATCTAATAAAAGAACCTTCTATCACTGGGATCACAATACACTTCTTTGTTAAGAAACTTATCTCAATATGTTAGGAATTGGTAGAACTTATTTTGAAAATATCAGAAATCATCTAATAAACAATGGTCTTTTACCAAGAATTCATGGTAATATTAAAAGAATGCCTCAATGGAAAACTAAGATGGTGATTGATAAAAATGTTGCTGAAGTAGTAAAGAATTTTTTAGAAAATTATGCAGAAGTCCATGGATTACCAAGTCCAGGAAGAAGTATCAATAGAATAACTCAATCAATTGTATTCTTA